TGCCACATCACAACCATTCTTGGGCATATGCTAATCACTCCTCGGACCAGCATAGTTGATCAGGCTATGCTATTCCCAAGACTGATCATACATCCCCAGTCTTACCTGTGATGTCCAACAATCTTTACTTTTGTTTTGTCCTAAAATGATGCTGACCTTAGTATGTATGCATGCATGTATACTTTTAACAAAAGTTATTTATTCTTAAAGGTATAGTGGTTTTGAAATCTTAAAATCAGAGACCTTAGTCCCAATGCATTTATAGTTTGTATATCTTATGTGGTTCGATATACTTAGTTCACTATAAACAATGCTCTGATACCAATCTGTCACCCCCAAACCAAGGATGGCGGAAACGTCTGGGGGTGGAGGACTTCATGTAGAGTATCACAACAATGAGTATAATAGTGCTCAAAGTAAAAACAACCACCATAAATATAATTGCAAAAGTTACACCAAAGTAAATGTTTACATCTTTCAAAAGCAATTACATTATGATGACAAAATAATTTGTTGACGGTTTAACGTCCCATCCTCAAAGCGATGAAGTTTTCCTGTTTCACTGACTTCCTGAGAATACAAGTAGTTTTAAAGAGTGTCAACACAAAGGTTGGTGAGTTCATAAGAGTTTTGTTTGAAGTAGAAACCGTTTTTCCTTGTAAAATCGATTTAGTTTGATTTCCAGAAAATCCAATATTTTCTTAGTTAAGTATGAATAGAAATAATCCTACATGATGCATTAATGAACCCTAGAGCAATCCGTAGAGTTCCTCTATAATCGTCCAGCGTATAAAAGTTATATAAGGGTTAACTTAGATAAAACGTTGAATGTAGTGGGTCTGCCCCAGGTCCACAACCCAACGAGGAACAGGAGATGAGGCGGGCACCACCAATTCTAGGCCAATCATGACTAAATTCTTATATGACTCAAACATATACGCTCAGCAACTATAGCTGAAATCTAACAATTCTAAAGGAAATATAGTTTTAATATCATAATAACTTTGTATAGAGACCCGACGTTTTGTATTTGTACCCATAGAGATAAAAGGTGATTTTAAATCGACATAAAACTCATTTAGGTTTTAAAAATAAAATCCCGTAAACTTATGGATTGTTCCCTATGTGAGCCGTTATAATCATACTATGACTATGTGAACCTGCCACGACGTTCTCAGTGTCGCGAAAAATGAAATGACATTTGTCACCCGTAGACCTGCAGATCCCACTGTAGCTAGCAGCGAGGTGTGGGGTGTCAATCCCAATATAGATCTATATACAAGTATCACGTTCTCCCTCCAGGAGATTCTGATTATAACTACCAGGAATTATATCCCGCACTCGGACGTACGGGGAGAGATAGAGAAACTCACAATATAGGATAACAAGTTTACGTTAAATGTGTGTGAATATAAATATTTCTTGTATGAATGTACCCTTTTGTACGAGTGCATAGAGTGATGTATCATAAACTATACCTATTATAGTTTATCTAAATGTATGTAATATGTATGAATCCTTTATGGAAATGTATTAGTGTTGTGAATTTATCAAACTATACTTTTATAGTTAAATAATACGTGTTCCAAAATGAATGGTAATATTTAATATGATGTCTTAGTTTCAGTTCATAATGATAAACTACTAGGAAACACATTCAAACATTAAAACTTATGATTATACACTTTGCTCAACATAATACAAAGTGTTATGATATTTACATGTTGTTGGTAAAATTTAGCAATTCTGCCCTGTTTTGGAAAAATCATAGAAAAATCATACGAAGTCGAAAACTAGATCCGTAAATTCTGAGAGTTCACAAAATGTGTTAGTTTGCTCATAAATTTTATCTCAATTTATAATGACTTCTAACTTGGGTGAAAAAGTCCAAGATCACAGACTGGTCCGGATTGTTGTTTGAAATGATAGGCAGTTTTGTAAAAATCACCATAAATTGTAGAAAAATCGTATGGAGATGTGCAAGTAGCCATTTTAAAGCTAAAAACTTGATCTATTTGCACCTTGTACAGTTTTGAAAACAAAAATAGTTAAGATGCCCAAAACAGTCGTGAATGGAGTTGAACTTTTCTGATGAAGGCTGTTAGAAAAATTTAGATACGTTCTTAGTGTTTTAACTTGTATTCCCCCCTGAAAACTTGAGAAAACATGAAAATGTAGGGGTATGAACTCACCTTGAGTGATTTCAGTAGATAAGTGTTGAAGAAGGAAAGTGTTCAACCTAAGAACACTTGAGGAAACACTTGAAGATTCGAAGATCTAACACAATTATGATGGAGTTTGTGTAAGATATTCATGATTTGAGTAGAATGAAGTGAAATAATCATAAGGAGGATGAATTATACTTACTAAGTGTGGAAGAACACTTGAATCCAGCCTTGGATCTCGAAAATTTGTGTAGAAGAGTTTGAGAGAAAAAGTGATGTTTGTTACTTAGTGGGATGAGAGAAATGAGAGAAAATGAGGAGTGTGGTTGATTGTTCCAGCTCAAAAACGTGGGAGTGAGTGAAATTTGAGTGTAAGGGAACATTGAAGTGACATAGGTAAGGTGGGGAGGTATGGCTGGTCATAGAGTGGGTGTGGGGTGGTTGCTTGTGATCATACGTCTTTGGACTCAAAAGTCAAGAACAATGTCTTATAATAGTCTATGTGTGTGTATCTCTTTAAAAATTCTGCAATTTCATCATTTTATGACCCCCATTTGCGAAGTTGAGTATTTATTTCCAAAAATGCGAAACTCCAGGGACAATATTTGAAATCTTCTGTTTTCTTCCCCAATTCGCATTCTACTGTGAAATACTTCGCATCTTCATTCTTACACCCTTCGCATCCCTTCGCATTAATCACCTTCGCATTTTATGACCCCCATTTGCGAAGTTGAGTATTTATTTCCAAAAATGCGAAACTCCAGGGACAATATTTGAAATCTTCTGTTTTCTTCCCCAATTCGCATTCTACTGTGAAATACTTCGCATCTTCATTCTTACACCCTTCGCATCCCTTCGCATTAATCACCTTCGCATTTTATGACCCCCATTTGCGAAGTTGAGTATTTATTTCCAAAAATGCGAAACTCCAGGGACAATATTTGAAATCTTCTGTTTTCTTCCCCAATTCGCATTCTACTGTGAAATACTTCGCATCTTCATTCTTACACCCTTCGCATCCCTTCGCATTAATCACCTTCGCATTTTATGACCCCCATTTGCGAATATTAACCCAATTGACTTTGAATTGACCAGAATATGACGGTTGTCACAAATAACAACTAGGGTTTCAATGAGAGGTGTTTTGGGAGCATAAGAGACGTTGTGGTCGACATAACATTGCTTAAATAGGGTGAAAACTCTCGGATCAGAGTTTTTGTCCAGACAGGGTCTACTTGTCGAGTCCATTGCTTAAATCATGCATCCCATCCCACTTCTACTCGGCGAGTTGGTCCTTCAACTCGCCGAGTCCAATGCCAAAAATGCAAAATACTTAAATAAAAATAAAAGGAAATACGTACCAAGAACTAGATGCTACAAATTGTAATGACCGAATGGTTTTAAATGAATTAAAAAGTTTTAAATTGGTTCGAGTTTTATGGTGTTACTCTATATATATATATATATATATATATATATATATATATATATATATATATATATATATATATATATATATATATATATATTATGTTTGAAATTTGTTTTTATAATTTCATTGTGTTTATTTGTAAAACGTAATTTATAAAATGGATAGTGAAAAACATAGATTGCAAAAACCATGTAAAAAAGAAGTGAAAAAAATACATTGTGAAAAAATATGTAAAATGAAAATTATATAATTTTACAATATAGATTGTAAAAAACATATAAAAACAAAAGAAAAGATGAAATTGTAACGAATTTTCAAAAAAAAAAACATTAAAAACAAAGTAAAAAAACAAAATTATATAAATATATAGTGAAAAAATATGAAAAACATAGCGCAAAGTAAAATTATAAAAACATATTGTAAAAAATCATATAAACAAATAAAAATAAAGTTTTAAAAATGATTTTTTTTTTCTAAATATAAGAATAGCATAGTTTGAAAATTTTAGTAACCGATTATAAAAAAGTGAAAAGTGAATATACCCCTAAGGGTATATAAGCTTAAGTATCCAAATCTACAATAATACGTCGCTTTATTTGATATATTCATCATAGTTTTCTTAAACTTCAAACTCTAACTTGATTTACTTTCATTTTTTAAATTTCACTATTATCTTCGTCTTACATCTTATTTTTTTGCCGAACACATACTTGACTGTAAATATTATAGTTGAAAATAAAAATGATGGAAGAGGAAGATAAATGTGAAATTTATAAAAATATTGGAAGTAAATCAAGATAAAAGTTGAATTATAAGAACATCGGACAATTACAATGTATATATATATATATATATATATATATATATATATATGATATTAAAATGACGTACTATAGTGAGTTTGAGTATTTAAATTTATATACTCTTAATGTTTATATTCACTATTCTTTATAAAAAAAAATACATGACATTAGATAAATTTTTTTTTTTCATCAGCCTTCAAAAAGAAAAAAAAACATAAAAACCTGTTATTGTCATAATATCAACTTTATTAAAACTTAATAAATTTAATGAGCTTTAAAACCTACAAGAAATTAGCCAAGAGATAAAAATCATTTCAAAAGTTTAATTACTTTAAATGGCACAAAACAAATTGGGCTTGATCTTCGTTGATGTTCTTTTCTACTTTCATAAATAGCTAATAACAATAATTTTTAAAAACTACTAATTCTTTGTTACAGTTTTTTTAATTCTATTGGACCAACCTTTATTTATTTATTTATCAAATATGGCGACGTCTGTTTTATGTTTACAACAAGTGTCATGTTCTACCGTTTTTAATACCACCGCCTAATGCTTCCAGACGTAGAAAACATATAATCAACCGCCTCAATATATCTCATATGTTTCGTTTTTTCTCTCACCGCCCCCATCACATAATCGTCTGCTTCGCCACAATCCCCTCCGCCGATAATCGTCGTTCTTTTCTTCAAGATCGAAACTCTCTTCCACCACGAATACTTTTAATGGCTTCTCTATTTTTACGACTTTCGCCTCGACGCCTCATCTTTCACATGGGTGTCCGCCCTCCACCATCATTTACTTTTGATCTCCACCCATCAAGAAACCTAGGTTTCTTTGTTATCTTTTAGATTATGAGACAAAGAAAGAAACATTCGGATGAATGCAGTTTTTCATAAACTTGAATAAAAAACCGTTTATATATATATATATATATATATATATATATATATATATATATATATATATATATATATATATATATATATATATATATATATATATATACAAAAGATACTTGTGTATAAAAAACAATCTAACTGAGTAACTTATGTATACAATGACCTGCCCTTTAATGTTAAATTACCGAGAATACTCTTCAGGTAAGTTGACACTTCTTCTTCTCCCTTTCTTCCTTACTTCGAATGTTGATGTCCCGTCTCTTTTGCCATCGTTCATGGCGTTCACCTCCATTCCCGCTCCATCAAAGTTCTGGCTTGCTGAAACCCTCACCGGTCTACGTCGACGTCGTTGCCATCCATTGACAAAGACATCCACTTATGTGTTAGAGATGACCGACTTCTTATGTGTTGGAAATGTAATCAAAGCATTTCCGGTTAGTATTTGTTCTTTTTTGTCGGGTGTTCTTATGCTTTGAACAATTTTTAATGACGTTATAGCAATTCTAACTTGGTTCCGTATGACATTAAGAAGACTTAATTTGGGTTTGTTTCTATGTTTCTCAACTATGCTTAACTGTCACTTCCCGGTGTTCGCGGGCCAATACCGCCGATTTGGAGCCATCTACCGTCGGCTTGGAAGTATGTCCCTACACCGGAGGTAAGGTTCAAGGCCTCAAATTGTGGGTTTTTTTTTTGTTCTGTTGTCTAATTTTGGATGATTATTTCTGATGACTACCGGCCACCACCATAGAGATCAAATCCTTTACAACTCCAAATCCCTAAATATCATAATAAATTCTCATAGGTTTAATGTTTATAACTTTGACCTTTTTCGTTTTCCTTTAAGATTTCCCCAAGTTTAATGCCTTATTTAGGTGCTTCAGAGCTCACACTCTTTTCAAAGTTCATCCTTATAGTGACTTTTAGATCTACTGCATCGACTCTAATTCATGGATTTGCAATTGATTGATAATATGTCTATTTTAATAAATAAATCAACAAAATATCTAGCGTAAACTTCTTTCACAAACGATATAATTGAAATCCGTACTTCCCTAGTTTTATTTTAAAAGCGTAGGTTATACATTATAAACACTTTGCTTTGATTTTATGTACGTTGACCAGTCTTTAGTTATCCAAATACGCAGTAAATAGAACATCTTTACATAGATTTATTTTAGTATCCACTTGGGTCGGTGCAATGGGTCATGGTGGCCCAGTCCGCGAGTTGTGGCGGGAAACCCTAACACGCTCTGCTTATTTTCCCGCCAAAAAGTGCATACAAGCATTCATTCATCTGCTTCCCCATCAAAACGAATTCACTTCCAGTTCTGCAAAAAAAGAAAAAAAAAACTTGAGGAAGGCATTAGCTAGCCAACAATATGGATTCTTTCGGCGGCGCATATTTCACCGACGAGAAAGCAGCGAAGGTCGAGAATATCTTCTTGGAGTTTCTTAAGAGGTACCGCATCAGGGTTTTTTCGTGTAGATCCAAAACATATTGATGCAATTCATGTTATTTGACAAGTTTTGGTCTTTGCTTTTTTTATTATCGTTACAGTTTTAGATTGGATGCCAATTCGAGGGAACCGTTCTATGAATCGGAAATCGAAGCAATGAGACCAAACGAGTCCAACACCATGTTCATCGATTTCTCTCATGTTATGCGGTTCAACGATGTTCTGCAGAAAGCCATTTCTGATGAATATTTGAGGTAAACTTTCTTGTTTCGAGTGTATTTTTAGTAACAATTTTCGCAAGACTTTTGTGTACTGAAATTGTTGAATTGTAATACATCTTTCAGGTTTGAGTCGTACCTGAAGAACGCATGTAAGCGGTTTGTAATGGGACAAAAACCCACCTTCATAACCGACGACAACCCAAATAAGGATATCAATATTGCATTTTACAATTTACCTGTCATAAAAAGGTTAATTTTCTTTTCTAATATCAACTGACTACCACTTTTACCACCATTTAGTTTGAAGATTTCAAATTTTATATATGTTTGTGTACAGATTGAGGGAACTGAGCACATCTGAGATAGGTAGACTAGTATCAGTTACAGGGGTGGTGACTCGTACTAGTGAGGTCAGACCAGAACTCCTTCAGGGAACTTTCAAGTGCTTGGATTGTGGAACCATCATCAAAAACGTTGAGCAACAGTATAAATACACCGAGGTTTGTTGTGTATTTGTTTATGGTTTGACATGTGTTGGATTTTCAAGTTTGTGCTTACTGGTTTTATTGGTGTTTTTTTCTGTAGCCCATGATATGCATTAATGCTATGTGCTCAAAGAAAGGAAAATGGGCACTTCTCCGACAAGAAAGTAAATTTGCAGATTGGCAGAGAGTCAGGATGCAGGAAACATCAAAGGAAATACCTGCAGGATCCCTTCCTAGATCATTAGATGTCATTCTTCGCCATGACATTGTTGAACAGGCTAGGGCTGGTGACACGTATGTAAATTTACACTTTTTTTAGAAAGATGTAGAAAATAACTCAAGTTTTGTGCTTCACTTTGCAGGGTGATCTTTACTGGCGCTGTGGTTGTGATACCTGACATTTTCGCATTGGCAGCTCCCGGAGAAAGAGCTGAAGTTCGTAGAGATGGTGGTAGTAAACGCGACACCACTGGCACTGTTCAAGAAGGTGTCAAAGGCTCCGGGCTTTGGGAGTTAGAGACCTTTCTTATCGCCTTGCCTTTATTGCCAATTCAGTGCAGGTTTTTCATTTTTGATCATATTGCGATCAATTTCTCTTTGTGGGACTAGTCTATAACGTTGATTCTTTGTTCAGATTTGTGATGGGAGAAGAGATGCTGACATACGAAATAGGAAGAGGGATGCTGAGGATGAAGACAATCTGCAATTCACGGTTGTTGTTCTGTCCCCTTTTTGACCCATATTCTCTAAAGTTATAGTATAATTCAACACTGTAATTAAAGTTTACTTATCCTATATATATTTATTTTTATCGTTATTGTAGGCGGAGGAGCTAGCTGAGGTTAAACAAATGAGAAATACCCCCGATTTTTTCAACAAGCTTGTTGATAGTATGGCCCCTACTGTTTTTGGTCATCAAGACATCAAGCGAGCAATTCTGCTTATGCTTTTGGGCGGAGTTCATAAGTTCACCCATGAAGGGATCAATCTCCGTGGGGACATCAATGTTTGTATTGTTGGAGATCCCAGTTGTGCTAAATCTCAGTTTCTCAAGTAAGCGTATCTTTTTAAATCTTGTTTTATGGAGTAGAGTTTCAATTTTTTTTTTATTTTTCTTTTGTAGGTATACGACAACCTTAGTTTCAAGATCTGTTTACACATCTGGGAAATCTTCCTCTGCTGCTGGATTGACAGCCACTGTTGCAAAAGAACCAGAAACCGGAGAGTTTTGTATCGAGGTACTAGTTTCATAAACTAAATACTGAAAACTGATGATACGAATGTTTCCATCCAATCAAGCACATGATAGATTCCAAAACATTTTATGAACCATAAATCTTAAGGCGGTTGTGGTTGTGGTTGTTTATGTGTTATCTATCAGGCTGGTGCACTGATGCTTGCTGACAATGGTGTCTGTTGCATTGACGAATTTGACAAAATGGATATAAGGGATCAGGTAATCATATCACAAATGTTGTTTTCTGGTTTTTGATATTATGCAATAATACCTCCTCATCCATCTGATTCTGATATCAATTTCAACAACTCAAAAAAGGTTGCAATACATGAAGCTATGGAACAACAAACAATTAGTATCACAAAAGCAGGAATACAAGCAACATTGAATGCAAGAACATCAATTTTGGCTGCTGCCAATCCCACAGGAGGCCGCTATGATAAATCTAAACCCTTGAAGGTCAGACAAAGATTTTACTGATTGTTTTTCTCTCTAATTATAAATACTCATATGAATTAATCATCTTGCAGTATAATGTTGCTCTTCCACCAGCCATTCTTTCAAGGTTTGACCTGGTGTATGTCATGATTGATGATCCTGATGACACAACAGATTTCCATATCGCCTCACACATTGTGAGGGTTCATCAAAAGCGTGAAAATGCTGTTTCTCCTGCCTTCACCACTGCACAACTGAAGCGCTACATTCAAGTTGCCAAGTCTAAAAAGCCAAAGGTCTGTCTGATTGATTTTCTTTCTGTTTGATATATCATCTCATCATCTACCTTTTCTAACATGTTTTGAATTTTAATGCAGCTAAGTGCAGAAGCAAGGAAAATTCTGGTTGATTCTTATGTTGCTCTTCGTAGAGGTGATACGGCTCCAGGAAGTAGAGTTGCATATCGCATGACAGTTAGACAGTTGGAGGCTCTAATCAGACTTTCAGAGGCAATTGCCAGGTGTCACCTCGATGATGAGGTAAACGAAATTTTACATCCAGTTCTTGTATTTGCATAACACACAAATACCACAAGTAAAGCTTTTTAATGTTTCTTGCAATTTTTATCCTAATGTCCAAATTGTGTATGTATTCTGTTTCAGGTTCACCCACGCCATGTTAAATTAGCAACAAGACTTCTAAAAACTTCAGTAATCAGGCATGTTTTGTTTTGTTTTGTTTATTGATTGTTGTAGAGAATAAATAACAATAGCCTGCAAACATGTATCACTAATTATGTATTGAAACATGCAGTGTGGAGTCAACTGAGATTGATTTGACTGAGTTCCAAGAAGAGAATCAAGAAGATGGTGATGTTGATGGAAATGGAAATGGTGCACCTCAGACTGAAGATGCAGATGCAGATGCAGCCAATAACGACCAACCAGGTTTGCTCTTGAGAACATGGATAGAAACTAAAAATGTCAGCCCTTAGGAATTGGAATTTTGTTTTTTTTTATTTATTTAATTTGTGTTTGTGCAGAAAATGGAGAAGGGCAGGGAGGGAAGAAACTTGTGATAACGGATGAATACTTTCAGAGGGTGACTCAAGCCCTTGTGATGCGTCTTAGACAACATGAGGAAACTGTTATGCAAGATGGTATGGCATTCTACTTTCTACTTTCAGCTGAATTTAGGTGCTGTATGTAGCTATGTATCTATTAATAAATAAACAAATCAATACGAAAACCTCTCTTATTTATATTTAGTAAAATGTTGGTTGATATATTTTATTTTTTGTTTTTCAGGGAGTGGGCTAGCTGGAATGAGGCAAAGGGATCTGATACAGTGGTATGTGGGTCAACAGAATGAGAAGAACAACTACAGCTCTATGGAAGAGGCAAAGGCTGAAGTCACCAAGATCAAGGCTATCATAGAGGTAATGAAAATCCTTTCTAGGCTTGAGAAAAGTACAGTGTTGTTTGTAGTTTTCATCATAATTATGTATAATAAATATCAAAAAAAGAAAAAAAAAAACAAAATCTGAAAAGAATGTTTGCTTATTGATGCAGAGTCTGGTGAGAAGGGAGGGGCATCTGATAGTTGTAGACGACGAGGCACAAGGGGATGATGGAGCGCGTTCTTCTCGAAACAACAGGATTCTTGCAGTGGCACCTAACTATGTTATTGATTAAAATGCTATTATGCTTTCAAATGTTGTTGATTGATTAAAATCCATGGTTCAATGATATTAGATTGTATTGCTATGGACATATCCTACAAATTGTTTTAGTAGAAATGGAACTTTTAGGTCTTTATTTTATTATTATTATTTTTTGTTATTTAATTTCTTTGTCCACAAGATCAACAATATATCCCTTGCCACGTATATACCATCATTCACACTATATAAACCTTAATAAAAGGGTATGTTTTTAATTTAATTAAAGGGACCTCCTATTTGCACGAAACGAATCATGTAATTGTTTTGGTATTTGTGCCTAAAGTTTGAAAAATTGTTTTGGTATTTGTGCCTAAAGTTTGAAAACTGACAATCTGGCACAACCTCTTTATATGAAAATGTTATTATATAATTTCTCATTAATCCCTTTATTAATACAATGTTCATTTTTAATCCTATGCTTTTTTGACTTTTAAAAATTCACTATATTAATCTATTCTATTAGAAATATGCTAATATGTGTGATAATATTTAAAAATGTATATACATAATTTTTAACCTAGTATTAGTCTAATTCATTTGTAAACTCAATCAACATTTAAAAATTAGTGTTTAAAAACTCCATTAGTATTTAAAATTAATTAGTGTTTTAAAAAATTAGCATTTAGAGGTGGTGTTTAAAAACTCAAGTAGTGTTTCAAATTAACATTTACAAACTCAATTAACGTATTAGAACTCAATTGGTGTTTAAAAACTCAATTAGTGTTAATTAGAAAATAACACTTTCATAAGTTTAAAATTATACAAGTGTCAAACTGTTATTAAATTAGTGTTTTTTAAAATGGGAAATCCATTGGCATTTCGTTTTTTTAATATGTATATATATATAAAAAAAAGCTATAAATAAAAATATATTTTGTTGAAATTTTGGATAAATTTGACTACATTAAATATAATCAATCATTAAATACATTTAGAAATCCCCAATAAGTTCATTGTTAATTGCATACAAAAAAATATGAGTAGAAAAAAGTTATTTCCCCTATAATATTTTACTGATGATATTTAAATAATGGATGCATGAAATATATTTTAAACAAGTAAAAGATGAATTTTGAAATATATAGTTAAACAGAAATGAAAACAAATGAAAATGCGTATTATGTAAACAATTTGTTTAAATTTAAAAATAAAATTTGACTAAAAACATAATCAATCAAATGATCGTGCATTTAAACTTTTGTTCGTGTATATAGAATTACCCTTAATTAATGGAATGGGAAAATATCCACATGCCTTTTAATTTAATTAATTGAATGGGAAAATGTCCACAGCCTTTCATAATATAAATCAATACACATCATTGTTTTTTATGTTTATCTTAATGTTCTTTTGTTTTTATCACACGACCAAGATTTATACCAAAATAGATAGTTGGTTACTTTTTTATTACTATTTTTTATTTTTATTCAAGTGAAAACGAGTACAAGTCTAATTGTTATTTTTTTTTGTTTATACATTCACTTTCATTATTTTTGAAAGAATATAAAGTCCATGCTTCATTTGGTAAAAACTAATGCAATTTATATTGAAATAAACCATTATAAGAAAAAAAAAAAAAAAAAAAATCCCACCAATAGGAACAAAGTAATTTTCATGTGGCACTTGTAAATTAGTATATATATATATATATATATATATATATATATATATATATATATATATATATATATATATATATATATATATATATATATATATATATATATATATATATATATATATATATATATATATATGTGTGTGTGTGTGTGTGTGAGACTGTCTAATTTTGTGAGACCGTGAGACGCATTTTTTTATTTATTTTTTATTTTTTAAAATTTTTTTTAGTTAATTATTTTTTAGAATATGTCAGTGTAATATTCTATTTAGAATATTTCACGTATTTAAAAAAAAAAAAACGGGATTTTTTATTTATGTTTTATTTTTTTTTGTTTTTTTAGTTAATTCAAGTTCCGAAAATAATATTTAAAAAAAGAATTTTTGGATTTTTCCATTTATTTTGCATTTTAAAATTATTTTTAGATTTGATCTCACGGTCTCACAAAATTAGAATGGTCTCAAATGAACTTGAACATATATATATATATATATATATATATATATATATATATATATATATATATATATATATATATATATATATATATATATATATGATTGATATATTTTGTGACCATATTGGTAGGTGATTATATACGTACAACCCTTTTATTATGATTTTTGGTTTTTGTCTTATGTTGTTTTTTAATTGTATTACTAGAAAGGTTACCCCGTTACCAGGGCCGGTCCAATGATATTTGATGCCTAGGGCGAAAGTGTTTAATGATGCCCTCATAGGGTATGTCCATACAATCACAATGAAGTCATATTTATATATTAAAAATACACCATACATATATATACCATGTAGCCTTAACTAAAAGACATCTTAACAGTTAAAACCAAAAGAACACAAGTAGCATGAACTAAAATGCCACTAAGGACATAGAATACTACTACAAGGAAAAAGCAAATATATAAACCAAAAAAACCAAAAAAGTAGCTGCAGATCTAAGTACAAACAAACTAAAGCAACAAATGTAGAGGTCAAAAAAATAACATTGCTAAAAAAACTAGCATACAATGATTGTAAAACAACAGGGGCAAAACGGTTAAAAAGTGTTTTTGGCAATCTTGTTATCCAAACAATCCTTTCCAACACAGAGGGTACAATGGACTTTTTTTTTGGGTAAAACACTTATACTCGTCCTGATCCAGTGACATAAAAATAGTGTAATGCCATCTCGAATCTTGGAGCAAACAATGAAATCGGCTTGAGCTATCACAATGTGAGCTGACTCCAGATTATGATTCCTTATTCCTTTGAAAAAACATGTTCCAGATGACAGCAATTACAACCAATCCGGTGAACCCATGTCATTGAAACAGAAGACAACATTTACACAGATATGAGAGATAACCAAAGAAAACTGTAAACCAAGTGAAACCCACACACAAGAGATTGATAATTATGACCACAAAGGACTAACCACTGAATAAATTTCAGATTGCAGTCATGTTAGATATTGATGTTTACCATATGAACAAAAGTCACGCATAGTGAAACCCATTTCATTCTCATTTCCATTTGGATGCAAATATAGTCTCTTAAAAGTACAAACAGCTGTAAGTTCAGGTAAATAAAAACACAGGTATGACTTCCAGTAGACGAGTTTAAGAGATCTTATTGTTTCCTGAATTGGCGTTAGGGGGAGTGACGTTGATGAAGCAGCCTCCTCGTTTCCTAAATTGGCGTGAAGCGATGGTGTCTCCTCGTCTTCTGTTTTTTTTTTAATTGTCGCTTCATATTAATTTGCTTTTGTCTTGAGGCGGTGCCCTACTACCAGACTCACATGTGGATCAATATTTGGACTCAAATTAGTATTAGACCCATGATATCCATAATAGTAGGTCCAAAATTGATGCCCCCTATTTTTGTGATGCCCTGGGCTGTGGCCCAGCTCGCCCAGCCCTTGGGCCGGCCCTGCCCGTTACGCGGGGGTCAGAAGCTTTCAATGTTGTTTCCGAATCGATAAATATGACAGACGTAGAAAGTCCAAGAATAAAAAGCCCGGGCTTTGCCCCAGACCGTTTTTTCATGTTTTTATGAAAAAATGTAAAAGTTTTGACTGCAATGATCAGAAGTGTCAAAACGGCTAAAGAATTAAAGGGGTAGGAATTAGCAACTTTTTAGAAAATGGATCAAAGTTGTCAAACCGTTAAAGTTTTGTGGTCAAACTTTAAATATTAAAAGGTTCCTAAAAAGTGTACAAATATTGATTGCAAGGACCAAAAGTGACAAAATGGGTAAAGAATGAGGAGCAAAGTGCAGGGACCAATTCTACCAAAAAATGGTAAGAAAATGGATCAAAGTTATCAAACCGTTTAAGTTTTGTGGCCAAACTTTAAAAATTAAAAAACTCCTAAAGAGTGTAAAAATATTAATTGCAAGAACCAAAAGTATCAAAATGGGTAAAGAATAAGGAGGAAAGTGCAGGGACTAATTTTGCCAAAAAAATGATAAATTTACTATTCCATTTGTTGAAAACTTTAATAATAATAATAATAATAATAATAATAATAATAATAATAATAATTAGATAATAAAATAATTAATATTAATAAACTTAAAATGTTAGACAAATCAACCATATATTTCAATTTTTTGCATGGTGCATTTGGTGACAAACAATTATTCGAAACACTATGTTTTCTATCTAATAAAAAATCTGATTTATTTATATTAAAAAAATAACAAAACAATAGGCACTATTAGATATGTTTCTTGTAACCAACCATCATAATGAACAGAACCAGTCCCGAAAATTCAAATACATTGGATGAGCTGGAAAAAAAGACCCTTAAGCCTTAAAGTGTAACAAATTAAAATTACATAAACTAATTTTTTTTAAAACGACGATAAACTTTATAGCAATAAACATAGCAAAATCATAGTATTTTAATGTAATTACATATCGTAACAGTTAACCGACAATTCATGAAGCTCTCCTAGCGTTCTTGATAGCAATTTGATTGAGCAACTCTTCAAGATTTCGTTCTCAATAGATATCATCGCCAAACCATTAAGTCTTTCTTGGGATATTGTGGAGTGTAAGTAAGACTTCAATAACTTTAACTTAGAAAAACTCATTTTTACAGATGCAACTGTTACTGGAATAGTTAACAATATTTGATATGCAATGCTTGCATTTTGGAAATAATCAAGTTCTTTCAAAAACATCAAAACATCTATAGGGTTGCTAAATTGATTGGTTTCCAATGTCTCAGATAATTTCAACTTCGTATAAAGTTCCTCGACATCAATATCCGATCTTTCTTCAAACTTGAGTGGTTTTTCAAGACGATGACAATATGACTTAAGATCGTTATCTTCATTTCTCTTCAAATTATGTGGAAATAAAAAACCAAATACTTTGTCATACTCTTTGAATAGTTCAAATCTCGTCTCCAGAGAAGAAATAGCTTGATCAACAATGTATAAGAAATAATTAACTCTGAAATTCTCTTTATGTGTAAATGAAACTTCTTCTCTACTTGAACTCTCATCAAACATTATTTTCCTTTCAATCAAACGCTTTTATGGAAATCTTGGATCAATACCCATTTCAATAGCAATATCCTTAGCTCCATCAATCGCTTTTAAAAAACCAGTTTTTCTATAATCCTTGAAGTACCCGATCAATTTGTTTATTTCTGTAATAGCATTATCAAGATGCGTATCCTTTGACTATAACTTTTTACTCACAATATTCAAATGGTTTAGCACTTCATGCCAGATAACAGTTGATACCAAAATTTCAAAGCCACCAAGTTCTTTTTCTGCTAGTGAAGCTGCTTCACTTGCAATTGCAACATCATTATCTTTTTCTCCAACTTGAAGTAAAACTTCTCGTACGTCAACAAGTTGCATTTTAATAGCCTTTACACTCTCAACTCGGCTTTCCCAACGAGTTTGACACAATGACTTAAGACTCTAAACTTTACATCATCTTTTAAGATTTCCCACCTCTTAGTAGAATTTGCAAAGATAGTATAAATGGGTTGGATGAATCCAAAAAAGTTCTTTCCTTTAACACACTTGTTAGCCATATCATATAATGTTAGATTAAGAGAATGACAACCACAAGGAGTGTAAAATGTTCTAGGATTTATATCTAAAAATCTCTTTTGCACTCCTTGGTGTTTTCATTTCATGTTTGCTCCATTATCATAGCCTTGACCACACATATCATCAATTTCAAGACCAAAAGACTTTAACTCCTCAAGTGTAATATCAAATAGTCCTTTTCCAGAGGTATCATAAACGTTCAAAAAATCTAAAAATGTCTCCTCAACAGTAACATAATTATATGATAACTTTAAATACCTCACTATTATAGTCATTTGTTCTTGGCGACTTGAATCGGGAGTACAATCAAGTATGATTGAGTAGTACTTTTCTTCCTTTATCGTCTTGATAAATTATTTTTTAATTTATTGAGCTATCAAAAGTATTAGTTCGTTTTGGATCGTGTGCCCAAGATAATGCACGTGAAGCTCGTCATTTGTGATCCGTCGCACATGCTCTTTGATAACTGGATCAAACTCTTCCAACATTTCAATGAGACCCAAAAAATTTCCATTAACTGTTAAATATATCTAACAAATAAGAAGTGGAATCAATTATAATAATTAACAAAGAGGTATTTGTTGGAATTGGAAAAAAAAAACATACAATCTATAGTTACCTTTTTGATATAACTTTTCGTTTGATCCCCAGAATGCTAAATTATGTTTAGTAAGAAACTTCACTACTGCAATGATTCGCAAAAGGACTTGTTTCCAGTAATTTCTTTCTTTCTTGAATTGCTTGTATTGAACTTTATCAATTATTTCATTCAAGTTCAATCTTTTACGCATATTAAACCACTTATTCCTATTTGTGAGATGATCCAAGGAAATTTCGTGCTCTTTAACACTACTAGTAACATGATGCCAATCCGAATAACCTTCGTCACCAAATTTACCTTTATAAATCCATTTTCTAAATACTTTACAACAAAAACAAAATACCTTATCGAACTCTTTCGAATATACTAGCCATTCTCTATCACACTTCTCCAAATTTGGTAAAGTTCTAGTATATAAACCTGCAGAAAATAGTCTATCAGATTTATTGTAGGGACCATACATAATACTAGTATCTTTTTTAGGACCTTTCTCAACCAAAAATTTAAGCTCTTCATAATTAAGTTTTTCCCACCTTCTTGGATCACATATATCAACAAGCTTTTTAACGGGTTCTTGCTCTTTTGCCTCTTCTACTTCTATTTCTACAACTTTTTGGTGTTAGACTCTTCAACATGCTCTTCAACAGGCTTTTCAACAGGTTGTCTATGAATAAACTTATCTAGAGCACCAATGTTATCCTTTCTCTATTCTTCTTCTAGTTTTCTCTTTTTACGTTTTTGACTACCAAATGTTTTTTAGACTTCATCACTACAATTTCATTACTTTCAACTTTCAATATTCAACTAAATACAAAAAACATAATCCGATAATTTGATTTCAACATCTAATAAATTTCAACAAAATTTCAACATTCAGTCAAATAAACAATTTCAGATTTTAGATAATTTTATAATAATCACAATTCCAACTTTCAACAAAATTTCAACATTAAATCATATAATCAGATTTTTTATTTCAACTTAATTTCAAAATTCAATCAAATAATCTCATAAATAACATTCAATCTTAATTGAATTAGTGAATTCTGATTATGATTCAAGTTCAATTTCTCATTAATCATCATTCAATTATAAAGTAATAAAACTATTAATTTGATTATCTGAATAAGTGAATAATCAATTAGACAATTACCTGATATGAAGTTATGAATGATCAATTTCAATGCTTCTCCTTCTCTTATGCTGCAACGAATTGATACCTAGGCCGCTAATAATCAACTAATCAATAATAATCGCCAATTGAGAATAATCGCTAAGCCTTTGCTGCCAAGTGCCAACCTGCTATCTACATTTGTGGATTAAGATAGGGAAAATGCCATAAAAGTCCTCAAGTTTTTAAAATTTTGTCGGTTTTACCCTTGGTAATTTTTTATGTCAACTAAAGCCTCATATTTTGCACTAACTTTTTCATTTAAAACTTTTAACAGGTTTGCCTCATAACAACTGGTTACCATGGCTACCTGAATACTACATGTCTTTATTACACTAGAGTAATAGACCCACATCTCCTTTCTTTCTCTCAACATTCACGAACAAATGCAACCAATTTCAAACCCTTTAAAATCACAACCCCTCCCCTTTAGTTGAATCTAGGCGTCGAATCGACTACATTTTATACATCTTCATTTTGTATTTTGTGGACCTCTATCTATATTTGCAGATGTGTCAAAGAAATTGAAGGTCAATAACTAGTATACTCAAAATTGAAGAAATCAAAAGCAACCATGTTCTGTTCTGCAAGAACTCATAGAGGTGCTTTGTCAAAATTGATTTTAGTTGAAGAACTGGAAAAATCGGTATGCAGATCCGAAAATCATCAAGAGTAATTTTAGATGAAGAAGGAGGTGGTACCTGGTACATTTCACAGCAAGAGTAATTTTGTTTCCATGGGTGAGATGTGTACAATCGGCGACAGAGGCATGTGTCTTCTCTGGTGACACCTCTGTCTCCATTAATGGGACATCAATGGCAAATCTTACAGCCTCCTTCATAACCTAACATCACAATCCCTTTCTCTATGTATCTCCAATCCGTGTGTATCTCCTCCCATGTCCGATTTCATCAAGGAAAACACACAAAGACATAGAAATACCCAATAAACAGAGAAAAAAGAAAGCATTGTTTGTGACGGTTTATGTGTTATTACAAATCCGATTAATAGACCTAGCCAAGTTTATCAGAGTCGGTGAAGAAAAGGGCATTGAAGAAGAAACTAATGGCGGCGTCAGTCGTGATTTTGGAATGATCGGAAGAAAAACAAAAACACGCACATACACCATGTGCAACACTTGATCTGGAGAAGTAATAAGGGTCGACGATAAATCCAAACCAAATCCAAAGAAACAATTCATCTCTATCTTTCAAATGTTCCCGTTGATCAACTGTAATTGCAGTGTGTGCAGGTGCTCGATTACATGGATGCTGCGACTTTTGTTGTTGCTTTTTAGTTTAGAGGTTAACGGTGGGTATTGGGGGAGTTAAGACGACATATCATACACTTTGGAAATGGTAACCGGCTAGCCTATTAGAAACCTGATAAAAGTTAATTATGACAAAACTTATTCAAATGTTAGGCTTTAATTGACATAAAAAATCACCAAGGGTAAAACCGACAGAAATTTAAAAATTTAAAGGTTTTTATGTCATTTCCCATTAAGAAAAGATATGGGCTAAAACATAAAGATGGGCTGCAATTGAATATATTAATTTATTTTGGGCCCTTACAAAACCAGACCTTGGTTCCCCCCCCTTTCCACCGGCTATGATAATGAATCTTTATGATAACAAATCCATGATTCAAGATGACTTGTTGGCTATACCAAGTGACGGTTATGATAACTAATCCATGATTCAAGATGACTTGTTGGCTATACCAAAGTGCACACTATAGAACCTTGTTTACTTAGATAATGATTGAATAATAACACCATATTTTTAGCAATGAAAATAACAGACATAATCAACCATATTTAGATGACAGGAAACCCAATCCATAGAAATTCAACATTTAGATGTTAGTCATATATTTCTAAACAACAAAAGGTTACATAGATGTTGGTATTACTCGATTAAAATTCGCGGATGCTGTAGGTTGAATTCTAAATTAATGAAAAGCTATGAATAGCAAAAAGAAAATAAATTGAATAATAAAAAAGGAAAATAAATAAATACCGAAGGGGAAAATAAATAAATATTAAAGAAAAAATAATGTCAAATCAAATAAGAGGAAATTACTAATCTAACCTAAAACACTAATTACTTATAAAAAAAATAGTAAAAAAAACACATTAACCAAAAGTAGCCCACAAAATAGTAGATTGGTCAGGGTTGACTACGGTAAAAAACTACTCTTTCGTAGCAACTGATTACTGTTCACCGACCCGTCTACTTTTTTCGTGGCCTATTGGCTCATAGTATATAATATATAAATTTTCAGATTAAGTTACTTTTTATTATTGTTTTCTTGGTTTACCTACTTTTTTCTCTCAATGGAGCACCCGAAGAACAAATGAGGTACAACCATTTTTTTTTAATCAAAATTTACCGTATTGTTGATTAGGAGTAGTTTTTGTATATGAGGATAACCTTTAAAAAAAGCGAAAAAAATATTAAAACCGTAGGTTTCAATATCTTAGCTCTCCATACATTTCGGTAAGTATTTTAAAAATTATATTTACTATAATTTTATTAATATGGATATTTATTGACTACATATATAATGTAGATTCAAACGGTCCCCCGATATCGTATAGGTGGGGTAATACGCAACGAACCACCACCCCCCGAATTTGCTAGCGACCCCCGGACACTTTTATTGGAGCCGTTTGTGATGCCGAGTTGTAATGCCCATTCTTTATATATGAGAAACAAACCAACCGTTTTTATGAAACATCAGTTATATAATGAAAAAATGGAAGCAAAGTTTTGGGATCTCATTTTTTATGCAAGTGACTTGGGATTTTTTTTATGAAGCGGTATGAAGACATTTCTTTATATTTAAAATATAAATAATTTATAAGTTCCTTATGTTTAAATTAAATTTAACTGCAACATGTTGACATATGGGGAAAACTATTGAATGAGCGGAGACCGAATGATGCTCGATGAACAATCATGCCATCGTCATTTTTCAGTGCATTTGAGATGTACCAGTGGGCAGGAAGTGCTATGGGAAATCCGATTGATCCGTTGGATGCATGTAAATCTTGGCTAGAAGTTGACCGTGTGAGTAAAAAAAATAATATATGAGTCAATTAAATTATCATATTACACTAATTAAACACTCTAATTAATTGCAACGATTGTATGTTAATAGGTTTATTTTCCAATATGCATCAACCCACATCAGTGGGTACTTGACGAGTTATGGATGGACATGCTGTCATTGAATTTGTACGAAAACTTCCGATCTATTGGCGCTGTGAATATAATTGATTTTGTGCAGTTTGAAGAGCTTATGGACCAAATTCTACTAGACATTGGCTACTGGAACCACATGGATTTTCCGGTTCAGAAAGTATCATTACTGTTATGGATGTTACGGACGTGCCCCAACAAGAAGGGATGTTTGGAGAGTGCGGTGTATTTATGTTGATACACATGGAGCAACTTGGTTCAGGTCGACCGATTAGTATATTGACAACACCTATTATTGCTAGTTTGCTACTATGCAGTTTCGCATTAGGATGGACATGATATGCTATGGATCTTCTAGAAAGGTGATTTTAAATTAGTTTGATTAGTAGGTTTTTAGTGACATTTAATGTGTAATATTTCAACATGATTGGTAATGTTCTATTTTAGTTTATGTTAACAAAATGTCTCCTAATTATTAAACATTAAACATTATTACATAACAAACTAACAAGAAAATAGTACATATTACACAGATTAATCATAACAAACAAGTAAATAAATATATAAAACATAATACATAGATAAACTTATAAATGATACATAAACTTACTAGTTGATTAATAAAAAATGATTAAATTTAAAGATTTGGAAAATCAGTCGGATATTTTGCTTTTCCTTGAAGTACCCAGTTGTAATTTTTTTTGTATGTTTTTTAGAACCTTTTCCATTTTAACCTCTTCTTTGTTGGCGTACTCTATTGCATCTGGCACCCAAACCCTTGCAGTTTTTTTTTATCGCGTTCTTTGTCTTGAACCGACCTCATATTAGACCAAATATCGGCTTGTAATTCATCCAACTGTTTGCTGTCTTCTTCAATGCCTTTAATCTTTCACTTGATCTATCACATTCCCAAACCGGAACGGCGGAAACGTCCGGGGGTGGAGGACATCATTTGTAGTATCACAACAATTGCATCGTAGTAATCAAAGTAAACACAACCATTACATTGAATATATATATATATATATATATATATATATATATATATATATATATATATATATATATATATATACATCTATTTGATTCATATTTATATACATCAAAAGTAGCAAAATAAAGACGAGACTCTATATGCTCCGTCTTCTCAAAAGTCTGCCGAGGTACCTGTCTACTGATTTCCTGAGAATACAAGCGATTTTTGAAAGAGTATCAGCATAAAGCTGGTGAGTTCATAAGAATGTTTTTGTAGTGAGAAACCAGTCATTGAATTCTGTAAAATGTATGCATGTCTTCCAAGAAAATCCAATATTTTCTAACACGTATGTTTGTTATTGTATTTTGTTCAAAAACCTTGATTAACACTTATATGTATAGTATGTTTTATTTGGAAACCCTGGCTACCACCAGTATGTATAGTGCGTTCTGTTTGAAAACCCTGGGTACCACTGGTATGTATAGTATGTTCTGTTTGAAAATCCTGGCTACCACCAATATGTATAGTAGTTTTATTATTTAAAATAAAACCATGTATTGTATCCCTGAAATCCTCTAGTGTAATGTATAGTAGTTCTATTAATTAAAATAAAACTAATGAAGAATGAAATCCCGTAAAAAAGGTTAGTTTATACTATTGTGAGTCGTATAAACATGCTTGATATGACCTAGTGACCTTTACGACATTCTTCAAGTGTTAAATATATGACATTTGTCACCCCAGGCATGCCTGCCTATCTGTAGCTAGCAGTTCAGGTGTGGGATTGTCAGTCCCGAATAGATCTATTCACAAATCTCATGCTCTCCCTCCAGGAGACTCTGGTTATAATAAATGATAGGATTTATTACTATCACACCCCCGAACTGATACGGCAAAAACATCCGGGGGCGGACGACTTCGTGTATAGTATCATAACAATTGAATATGAATGAAACATAGCATCCAAACATCATACATTGAAGATACACGCTTACATAGTTTACATATTGAATTTGTTCATCAGTTACACAAAAATAAGAAAGTAAAATTTCTTGAAGTTGCACCACTTGACCTCATAGTCAAGTTTATTACCTGCTACTGGAATTCCTGAGAATACAAGTCATTTTGAAAAGCATCAAATAAAAAGTTGGTGAGTTCATAAGCAGTTTTAAATAAAAATGGTTTTTGTACTTGTTTAGAATAGTTTTCATAGTGCATTAAAAAATCCGATATTTTCTAATAAGAAATGGTTTGAAATATTTGTGTCCGATCTTATATTAATGCATGTGTGTTAATGTTTACAAAAATAGAAAGAGAATGATTTCTAGACAACCCGATGTTGTCTGCGTTAGATGATGTTGGAATCTCAACCCCCGTGGTTAAGTACCGGTGCTTATAGATTTCCGTTTTATCAAAAAGAAGGTTTCCCGTTTTATCCAAAAAGAACATAGGATGGTTTCCCATAAATCTTATAACGTTAATTCCTCTAAGTGAGTCGTTATAACCATACATGATAGTGAATAATTCGCCTGTCATGACATTTTCCAAACGCCGGTTTTGATCAAGATTTTGTCATCCTAGACTGGCCAAGTCTAACTGTAGCGAATAGCTTAGGTGTGGGGGAGTCACCCCTGTATAGATCTATACACAGACTCTCGCCCTCCCTCCAGGAGACTCTGATTATAACTACAGGCTACGACCATACACTCTGGTGTCAACCGACAGGTCTCACTAGATCCTTAATCGAAATTTACACGAAAAAAGTAAGAAGATCACATATAAAATTCATTCCCAGACCCAATAAATATGTAAGTGGACCACTAAGGCCCACTATACATGTCTATTATTTACAGGCTCAAAAGGAATACGAATGTCTATCCTGGGACCAATACACATGTAAAAGGACACTAAGGCCCACTAAACATGCAAAAGGACACCAAGGCCCATTAAGCATGTAAAAGGACACTAAAGCCCACTAAACATGTATATTATTTCTAGGCCTAATAAGGATATGGATATCGTTTTTAACCCCCCGTTTGTTATTGTTTTGTTTATTTTAGCTTGATTATTTAAAAAATTGATATAAAAAGCCCACTTTTTGTAAAAATGACGTTATTGGCCCAATAAGCCACAAAACTTTCAATTAAGGACAAATTATAGTAAAAATAACACTTTAGTCCCCATTTTGTTGAAAATTTGTGTTTTTGACTAGTTTGTGGTAAAAATAACATTTTAAACCCATTTTTGTCAAAAATATCATTTTTGTCTTGATTTTTGTGTAATACACATTTTTTCTGGTTTTTGGCTTTTCTGACCTAGTTGTAGGAAAATTTGTAGGAAAATCATCTTAAGTCGAAATTTGGATCCGTAAATTCTGGAAGTTTGGAAATTTTGTCTACTTTGTTCACAATTTTTCTCATATTTTTTATTTGTTGGATTAACGTCTAAGTTCATAACGATAATTGGTAAGACTTGACCCAACCCGACATGGTCCATTTGGGTTGCATGGCATCATGCATTTGGATTGACTATAATGAGAGAAATAACACTTAAGATATGTTAATATATTATAAGTTCTAATATATTAATAAGATTATTTAATTAGTATTGATCAAGAATTAATCTATAATTAATTAAGTGATCAAAAGAAGACGAATTAAATATATGGGTTGATTGTGTAAATCATCCATACTTGTATAGTGGGCTAATGCTTCATGGATTGTCAAGTTGGGCTAAAACTCATAAGATGATCCATGGATGCTCCGTGGAATATTTGAACCCATGGATCCAAGGAAATGGAAAGCCATGAAAATTAGGGTTTACCCTAATTGTCACTAACTATATAAGCATCTTATTATTGACAAAATCGGCCACTATGTGTGATAGAAAGGGCTAGCCGATTTTCATGAAGTGTGTATATTCTCTCAAGTTATTCCAAGTGTATTTGGTGTTTTGTGAACCATTTGAGGTGTCACACTTGGGGCACTAGGCACTTAAGCTTCATGAAGACATTCTACATCAAAGAGGTACGTAATTCTAACTTGAGATATTTATATGAATCAATGTTATTATGCTAGTTAGGATGAATACCTTGGAAAGGTCATATTTGCATGCATAATCGAGAAAACATAGATCCAAGGTATTTAGGGTTGCATGTACACTTAGGAGTGTTAGAATGCTCATAACCCAACATCATAGTCCTCTACCAAGTGTGAAATTGCTCACTTTCACAGGTTGGTCCGAAATTATTTCAAATCGGATAGGCAGTTTTGTAAAATTCACCAAAAATAGTAGAAAAATTGTATGAAAACGTGAGAGTAGTCATTTTAAAGGTAATAACCTGAAATATTTGCATGTAAAACAGTTTTGAAAAATATTACCATTAAGGAGGTCAAAACAGTTCGAGATTGGACTAAAGTTTTTCTGTCAAGGGAAGATTTTTGAGTTTAAGTTATCTAAGTTTGTTCACAACTCTTGTTTTTGCTATTCTAAGTGTATAAATCCCATATCTACAAGTGTACATGTTTTATATGTGATAACACATACTTTTCTCAAGGTTTTTATGTAGATCCAAGTGATAAACTTCATTTTCAAGTAAAGATCTAAAAGTTTAACACATAAACATACACATATACATAGATCTAACACAAAAGAACTTGTATTCTCCCCAAAAACATTATAAAATCAAAAACAAAGGGGGTATGAACTTACGTTTGGGGTTTTTGAGATGTGGATGAAGAAGAAGATGGAACTTTGAACCTTGCTTGAGTTTTTGGTGAGATCTCAAAATGTTGGTGGATCTAAGAGCATAAACCCGAAAATAAAGTAGATTTTAATGAAAGATCTTAGCATAGAATGGAGTTAAAAATCTTAAGTGTGAAGTAAACTTACCAAGAAGATAATACTTGATGCAAAGCTCTTGAAATACCCCACCAAAGTCACGATTTTTAGATGAGAAAAAGAAGAACTTCTTTGTGTTCTAGAAAGGGATATGAGAGGGTTCTTGTGTTGTTTGAAGTGAAGAATAAGGTGAAATGGGGAGGTTTGGGGTGGTTTGGACGAATTTAAGGAGGAGAGGGAAATGGTGGAGTTCTTACATGTTGGTCAAAGTGTTCATGCATGGATACATGATGTGTAATTAGTATGTTTTATGTGGTGTAATTGTGAGGTGTCATAATTATAAACCACTTCTTATTTTATTTATTTATTTATTCTTTACTCATGACCATAACTAATTAGGAGAGGTATTTGGCCAAGGTTGG